AATCCCCCAGGGTACACTCGCTCCCTCCAGGACACACACTCCTCAGGGATATCCACTCCCCTGGGGACACCCAATCCCCCAGGGTACACTCGCTCTCCTGGGGACACCCACTCCTCCGGGGACATCCAATTCCCCAGGGTACTCTCGTTCCCCCCAGGACAAATGCTTCCCGGGGCACACCCACTCCTCTGGGGACACCCAATCCCCCAGGATACACTCGCTCCGTCCAGGACACACGCTCTCCTGAAAACACCCACTCCCGGGYGACACTCGCTCTCACTCCCACCAGGAAACCTCACGCTCTGGGCCAGCCCCATGGGGGCTGTGACAGCCCGGTGGGTCCGTGGTGCCCCRTTCCACCCCCCTCCCTGGTGCCCCCACCCGCCGGCGGGCGAGGGTCCGGTGCGCTGGCTGGCCTCGGGTGCAAGCGTCGTGGTCACCCCGGCATGCGTGTGGCCAGTGCCTCCTGCATCTTCTGGCGGCAGCGGGCGTAGCGGTGCCGCAGCCGGCGCAAGTGCTCCTCCTCCTCCCGCTGCAGGATCAGCAGGAAGTTGTGCAGCTCCGGCAGCGTGAAGGCGTCCCACTGCAGGCACAAGAGCTGCCATCGCAACGGGGACCTGCTGTATTCCCCACGGCCACCKCCCCGGGGAATGCGGGTGCCAGCCCCTTCCCCGTCCCTGCACTCACGTTCACCTCGCCGGTCTCATTCTCCTTCAGGACGAAACTCAGCACCTTCTCGCTGGGGCCGGCCAACAGCCGCAGCCGCAGGGGCTGCTCGTCGTCACCCAGCTTCCGCAGGTACACTGCAACGGCGGCCATGTGTCACAGCGGGGACACTGCTATGGGGACAACATCGCCACGGGGACACTGCCACTATGGGGACATCACTGCTGCTAAAGGGATGCTGCCACCATGGGGATGCTGCTACCTGAGGAAAGCTGCCACTACGGGGACACCACTTCCACAGTACTGTCACCATGGGGACACCACCACCCTGGGGACACCACCACCCTGGGGACATCACCACCATGGAGCTGCCACCGCCCAGGAGAAACTGCCACTACGGGACATGGCCACCACTGTAAGGACAAGGTCACCCTGGGGCACTACCTTGCTCATCCTTCTCGGACCTCTCGAAGAGAGCGAACTTGCGGGGGTTGTCAATGACGGTGAACTTGCGGAGGAGGGCGTCGATGACCTCGCTGGCGCGGGTGTGCGAGAGGATGTGCAGGTGCTTGACGGTYCCCTTGGGCAGGTAGAAGGACGTGCGGCGCTTCACCCCCTGGGGGTGTGGCCGCCCCGCCTGCACGGAGGGGACCCGCTTGGTGGCTGGCACCGACACAGGGCGAACCAGCTTCAGCTGCACCTTGATGAAGCCAGTGTAGGAGCCGTCTTTGTTCTGCAAGACACCAGTGGGGTGGTGAGTGGGGTCAGGGTAGGACGCCGTGACCCCCCGGTCCTGTGCCCACCCCGTACCAGGCTCATGAAGAGGTTGCTGTTGATCTGGCTGTTGTACTCCTTGATCCGCTGCTCCACCTGCGTCCGGTCCAGCTCTGTCTTCTCCCACTCGCTGGGCTCATCCTGCACGACAGCAGCCGAGCTGAGCGGCACTGGGGCCGGGGGGAGCCCGTTCGCCCGCCCCGGTGTCCCGCCGGCCCCCAGCCCATGCCGCGGCACCGACAGATGCGCGGGCGGTTGCACGGGGTTGCATCAGCCCGGATGGCGCTGAGCTGGGCTGTGCCGGGGAAGCACCGCTGAGCTCACCGCGGCCCCAGCCCTGCTCCGGGGACACCGGCACCGGCCGCCCCCCCAGCGCCCGTCCCTGGGGCTGCAGCGCTGGGTGAACGCGCTGCGAGGACACCCGGGGCCGAGCGTCCCCTCCCGGCACCCCAGATCAGAGAGGCGTCCCCAAGGCAGAGCGCCGGCAGCCGCCAGCCCGGCACCAGAGCGTCTGGGCAGGCTGGGCGCCCGCGGGGACACCCTGGCATTTGAGGCAGGAKGGCCGGGYTGGGGGTGCAGCCCGCCCTTGCCGCCGGCACCTCACTTCAAAGTGCTGGCCCCACGCACGGGGGGACCGAGCGTCCTGGCTCGGCGTCCCTGCCACTGGCAGCCGCTAATGAGTATTTACGTGGGGCCGCGGAGCTGCCACAGGGTGCTACACGTGTCCCTACGGCACTGAGGGGTTCCCAGCCCCGACAGCCACCCCACAGCATGCAGGCACTGACGGACCCTGCGGGGGTCCCTGCAGGATCGGCACGGCTGTGAAGCTGCCGGGGAGTCATCCCGGCACCCCCAAAGATGGGAGCGGCTCCAGCCCTGAGGGACCTTGGGGTGCCCGTGCCAAACAGCGAAACCCCATTTACCCCACGGTGTCTCGCTCATCCCACATCCAACCGGAGCAGGACCACCGTGTTCCACGGTACGGTCATGCTTGACCTCACTCTTGTCCCACAGCAGGGCCAAGCTCACCTCCAACACAAGACCACCCACACCTCTACTTTTCCGCACCCACCAAGCCCACCCTCGCCTCCTTCCCAGCACCCAGCTGGGGAAATGTTCCCGATTACGTCACCCGGGTCCCCCATGACGTCACGGGACCGACCTGGCGGCGGCGCGGGCGGCGGCCGAGGGAGGTGCGGGCGGTGTAGAAGAGCTCGGGCTCGGAGTCGGAGTCCTCCTGGCTGCAGTAGCCGCTGCTGGCCGTGCTGCCCCCCGTGCCCCCCGCGCCGCCCCGCC